GCCACAATCATCACACATGCTCTGAAATGTCATACTGACAATCTCAACTGAGAAAATCAGAACCCAGTTCCTGTATGTCCCATAAAACCGGCTCAATAACAAGAAGGGTTTTTTTATTTTTTGAGGAAAACATCTGGTCGCTCCAGTTCCTGATGTTGTACAGGAATCATTTTTCAGCCACATAGTTTTCTGCTTGTTGCGCAAGTTTACAGAGTGAACAAAGCTGCCTGCTGAAGTCTTTCTTTGGGGGGGTCCTGAAGTGTCCTGCTGATGCAGTTTAAACAGTAAATCATTCACAGCCAAGCCTTGCCAAACAACTGACACGGTGAGGTCAACCAAACTTGACCTGCACCATCCCAATCTTTACTGCCCGCAGGCTGCAAATCGACTGAACTGCTGTGTTATACCACGATTTATAAAAACAGGAGGGGAAAAAAGGAAAATGTTGCTGACAAAATGTCCAAAGAAGGCTCCTGTGAACACAAAACCTCTATGCTTCCAGTCTAAACGCTTTTGAGCACATGAATAAATAACTTACTATATTTTCCACCATTTTCTTGGTCCAGTGTGATCTGTTTGAAAATGAGAGCTGTTAATCACATTCATGCCAGTGTGAGCACGAGGCAGAGCAGATGGTGTGAATGAAATGAGATTTAAGGCTTTATGAGCACCGCTCTTTCAGCGCTGAACCATAATTGTTGAAAACAGAAACGGGAGGGGGAAAGAAAATCTCAATATACTGAGCTGATATGTTGAAGCAGATGAATTCTAATGGATTTGAACTGCTCTGACAAAGAATTAAGAATTCAGAAAGTCTCATTAGAAAGCATCACTTCAAGTAAAAGAGAGGAAGAAAAGGGGGTGTTGTTCAGAGCGCACAGCTGAAATTGTGCAAATTAGTTTGAACTTGTTTTCCATCAGCGACACACTTGGTTTTAAAAAACATCAAATTTTGTTCATGAAGTGTTGAAACAGACTAAACTTTTATGTTTAAAACAATCACTTTTAATTCTCATCAGAACACAGACTTCCCAACATGATTGCCATTATTGATAATACTCGGGTCTAATTTTTGGAAATGTCTTCCATACATTCATTATGGCTGTCCTACTTTATAGCTTTAAAMAAAAAGTACCTTTATTTTGTATTCAGACATTTAGCTTTTATATAAAACATTCACCCAGCACTTTAAGAATGCTAAATATTACATTGTATATTACCGTTTTTAAATGCAAACTCTTATAATTCTTTTACCCCACAAGTATTTTTACAGGCTCTACGGAAATTAGCAAAGAGCATTAATGCTRTTATCAACACATTTTATAACCAACTGATTTACAAACAAGTTTGTAAGAATTGGGACCAAAGCTTCGAGGAAAATACAACAAATAATGGAAAAAGTAGATTAAGGCCTAAAATTTATTGAAGGAATGCTTTTCGCTTTTTGTCGTTTATGCCAGAGTTGTAGACTAAGATTACTCTTTTATAATAAGGATGGAGTTAAAATYGTTTTGGTAAAACAGTCGCACAGTGTTGATTCAAATAGTTAATTGTCAAATTATAAGAAAAGTTTTATTTGTCCTTAGTCATGTACTGTAAAACTCTGCCAATGCCACACCATTTTAGAGCAATATCTGTCAAAATGACTGAGTTGTAACCATTGTTTCTTTTGTTAAATTGTGTCTATGAGCTATTTTTTACCAGGCAGAGTTGACTCCAACAACTATTGGACATCGCATGTTTAGGTGACTCTCAGAGTTTAATTTTGCTATAAGTCTCAGCTACTCCCACACCAAATATAAACTCGATACCTGAAAAACTGACAAAGTTACAGTCTTTTTGTGTTTGCTCATGTTGATTAACTGCAGCAGCGATCTTATATTTGAGTGACTCCAAAAGTTAATAAGTTAATCAGCTTATTATCACCCACCACCTCAGGCAAAAGGGCAATAATAAGTGAAAGTAATAATCCCCGAGAAAGTTGGTAACAATGCAGGGCCGTGTTTCAAACAACCCAGAGGAAAGCAGGCACTCAGTTTAGTCATTACTGATAGGATGAAGTGGAAAGTAAAAAGAAAAAAGAATAATTAATCACCGTAACGACAGTAAAAATCTAAAATCTGGAATTTAATTTACTGAGTGGATGTGTACTGAATGACAAAACCAAAACTCATAGGCAGAGTTCAATAGCTTCAAAAAGCTCAATGMTCTTCGAGTCCACCTTCGCTTTTATTTTTATTTATTAATTTGTTTTCAGCTGTACTTTATTTCCGAAGAGCCACCTTTCTTGGAATCTTTGAAAGTGGCATCAATCAAAAGGTTCTTTAGTCTTTAGGATTAAAACTCCTGCTTCAGCTGAGTAAAGAACCATTTTTATTTTGATCCTTTTTTATGTAGTTGACTAGTTAGCTTCTTGTGTGCTATACCTATTTAGTGCTACGTTCAATCTGTTGCAACAAAGACAGTATTTTTCCCATTTTCTTAACTGAAAAAAAAGAGAAACACTAAACACAACACAGATTGATGCATAAAAATGTATTTAAACTCCAACAGATTATTAGCTGAAAATGTGAGTTAAAGCACAATAAAGGATGTTTTATCTCTCTGGTAGTTGTAACTACAGAAATGTTTTATGGGCATTTAAATAATTTGGGGTGGGGGGCAATATTTTTGGGGTGGTCACTGACCCCTCTGGCCCCCCATTGGTGGTGTCTCTGCGCTCATGTTCTGTATCAGCTCTTTCCAGTTTCACCTGACATCCAGACAATTTCCATTATTCTCCTTTTATTATTTTGGCTTTTGAAGGCTGAGTGTAATTGCCATAATGATTGTTTTATTTGAAAAAATACTCCCTTTTATTGTTAAAGACATGTTCAATATTAATATTGTTATTATTTTATTATACAAAAACTGTTTATTTGCATCACTTTAAACTCTCCTTAGTCCTGAAATTGTGTTTCAAGGGTACAGATACTTCTGATCTAGATGGTAGGTGCTTAACAAATCAGGGAGAAAAATCCATGAAGTTTGTAAGCACTCAAGAAGGATGGTAAGTATTTGAACAGCCGTCTGCACGCCGCAGCATATTAAGTAGTTCAGAGTTGATGCCTAAAATGACAGCAAAAAGACTTTGGGGCTTTGTAGCATTTGATTTGAAAGTGATTGTGCATGACTAACACCTTAATGAGCTCCGCTGTGCTCCATTTTTCATGTGCAGAGATTTGAGCATAAATCTTGCCCTTGAAGCTGCAGGGCCAGGGCTCTTTTGTTTCTGAACGTTAAGTCTTATTTTGGATGTGACCTTCCTGTGTCCTCGCTGCAGCTGCTCCTGATGCTGAGGAGCAGACTCAGAACGGATGGATGTCCTGCTGGGAACAGCAGCAACACTCTGCCACAGGATCCATTTACAGCCATCAGCAAAGATGAAAAGATAAGACACAAAATAATTTGATTTATTTTTTTTAATCTTAGCAGAAACTGGTCACCATAAAAAAGAGAAAAATCTTAGTCCTGTTAATTTGACCTGCCTTGTTAGTGATTACATTTGCACATTTGCAGCCCAGAAAAAAACCCAATAAAATAAATAAAAACATCTGTTAGGCTGAATTCTGTGTAAAAACACATCTAAACATCCTGCTGGGTCTCTTTGGTCTCATCAGAATAGAACTCTGTGTTTCTGAAGCTTCACTCACTCAGCTCGATGAGGTGCTGAAAGTCCAAAATACACAATTCTTGGAGTTGAGAAAAATATGTTTAACCGACCAGAAAGTTTGTCATCTGGGTGAGGATTATTTTTTTYCCACCACTTTGATGTATTTAACTACAGCAGACACATTTTAACATTAGACAACATTTTGTCATAAGTGTGTCTTACACTCTAAGTTAATCTTAAACATTGCCTCTTATTTTATTTTGTACAAAACAWAACGTTCATGAAGTAATTCTTTATAAAGTTAAAGTATAGAACTCACTAAWTACAGTACAAAACAAAACAAGAAGGCAGGAAACAAAGAAAGAAACATTTCCTGGTCTTATGCTGCCCTCTAGTGCTCAGYTTAGATACATTCCCTATCTCACTACAATTAGATAAATGACAGGAACTTATCTAAACTAAAGCAAAGTTGCACTTTTTTCTTCTTTGTTTTTCTTTACAACAACATATAAAATGTTTGCATATTTTCAGAGCATCTAAATGCATCATTACTAATGTTAAAACAGAGGGTAAAAGAAAGGCTGTTTGGAAGCCTCAGTGTGATTTAAAACATTTTGTGCATTTTAAAATAAGATTCCATAGTTTGATACTAATGCATATTAGATTCAGATAAAAGCACTGATAAGACACACACACACACACACACACACACACACACACACACACACACACA